GACAAACTCACTTTGAAGGTTGGCTTTCATACACATCAGTATTAAGTTTAGATCAAAAGTTACCTCAAGGTGCATTTACTGTTAACATGACTCGATCAAACAGATTAGAGGAAAGAAGAGAAAAGATCGAACTGACAAAGAACTAATGAAGATGGTACAAAGGTGGGGGCCAAGATCCCTCTGGGATCTCTTGTTAACTTCACTACATCAATAGTAAACCCCGCCGGAACATCCATGCCAAATATCAACATCCTAGTACACAAATTTAACAAGAGGCCCAATGGGCCAGCATCGCTCACCTGGTATAAATCTCACACTTGTAATCTTAAAAGTGGACTATAATACAGCTACAGACAGAATATCAGTGTTTGATCGATAAGAACCTATTAAAAGATTTAAACATATGACGCCTATGACCTTGAATGTTGAACAAGGACATTAGGTTGAAAGTGGATCAAGGTCATTCATTTGAACAAACTTGGTAGTCCTTTATCCCAGCATGCTACAGGCCCAATATCAGTACCCTGGGTGTTTTGGTTATTGAGAAGAAGTTGTTTGAAGATTTTAAGACATTTGACCCATCACCTTGAAAGTTAGTCAAGGTCATTCATTTGAACAAACTTTGTAGCCCTTCATCCCAGCATGCTACAGGCCCAATATCAGTACCATAGACGTTTTGGTTATTGAGAAGAAGTTGTTTCAATATTTTAAGACATTTGACCTCTGTCACCTTGAAAAGTGGTCAAGTTCATTCATTTGAACAAACTTGGTAGCCCTTCATCCCAGCATGCTACAGGCCCAATATCAGTACCCTGGGCCTTTTGGTTATTGAGAAGAAGTCGTTTGAAGATTTTATGACATCTGACCCCAGTGACCTTGAAAGTGGGTCAAGGTCATTCATTTGAACAAAATTGGTAGCCCTTTATCCAAGCATGCTACAAGCCCAATAACAGTACCCTGGGCCTTTTGGTTATTGAGAAGAAGTTGTTTGAAGATTTTACCATATTTGATCCCTGTGACCTTGAAAGTGGGTCAAGGTCATTTATTTGAACACACTTGGTAGCCCTTGATTCAAGCATGCTACTGGCCAAATATCATCATCCTAGGCCTTTTGGTTACTGAAAAGAAGTTGTTTAAAGTTAAAAGTTGACGCCGGACAGACGGATGGACGACGCACCATGGCATAAGCTCACTAGCCCTTTGGGCAGGTGAGCTAATAAATGACAAGCTTATAAATAACTTGCAGGTAAAACTTTAACATTTTCTCGCTCATGCTCGTGCCGGGGGTTATATAGGAAATCCTTTGACGTTTAGTTATAGCCTGTTTCAACTAAGAATGTCAACTCATGTAGATACGATACTATAGCTCTCTGTTTTTCGAACAGGCGAGCCAAAATCTACTAATGTTGTATTGTCCTTTCCATAGGTTTATTTAATTTTCTTAATTAAATATACAGTGCTTTCTGCAAATTAAAGTAATTAGGATTTTGAGTCATGATTAACTCAGCTTCATCAGCTGGGATTCCACTTCTTTTTAAAATATTCCTATCATCACTAATACCTGGGATTCATGTTTTTTTCTTTAAATTGTTGTTCAAAACTCGTAATATGATATATATTCTTACACTGAATTAAATCAATAGCAATTACAAGTTACATATAATAAGATATGAAAAATGAAAAATGAAGGAGACTGATATAGGCATAGTCTGTTGTCTTATTATTTTGGTAAAGCAACCATTTATTTTTCTGTATGTATAATCTCTTTTATTGACTTTTTTTTTAAATTGAAAATTCATCACAATATAACGTAAATTAGTGGATCAATTGACTCACCAGGGTTTCCTGAACCTGATCATGATGGAAGGTCCTAGTACAGTATCAGTTTGCAGCCAGCCTGGAAACCTCTCCTGCCAATTTTTCTGCCTGGTCTGCCAACCCTGGTGCAGCTGCTGCAGCTTCCAACGCTTCTGCGGCTGACATGTCATGTGCAAGGTAGATAGCTCCTAGGAACACACCCCAACTGAACACCAATTTTCTGGAAAAAGCAGAATGTTCAAATGTTTAAGGGAGATAACTTTGATACAAAACAATGTATCCGAGTTAAGGATGTACACCTCTGAGAAGTCAAAAAATTCCTGTATTAAACTTTTTTTCTTATATTGATTTTTGGAAAAAGGAGATAATGGCATAGTAGAAAATGCAAAAAAAACTATATGTCGGTGTGTTCGTTTTTGTGCTATGATCAGTCAAAGATACCAATTTAACACAATATGTGATTTTAGGTGAATTTTCGGGTTTTGACCCTTTGCAGAACAATTCATACAATTTCTTCCAAGTGTGTTATCAGATATGTATGAATGTTTGTAGAATTGATAAAAATATTATTTTCTTTGAAACTATGGAAGTAAAAGGTCTTACACTTATTCATTTTACTCAAAAATANCAGATTAAACGCTTGATATAAAAAAAATCCTGTATTAAACTTTTTTTAGTATTCAATGAATCAAAAGAAAATGTGTTTCTCTTTCTAAAACAGCCACAAAAATGGGGGGTCGGTGTGCTTCTTTTTTTGTCCCATTATTATTTGTGTTATTTTTCACCTTTTTCGGGGTCAAAAATCAAAAGTGCTTCAGTTACCCTAATATGTAAAAAAAAATATCAATAATATATAACTTTCCACTTTTTTGCATATTATTTTAATCATATTGAACATTATAAAGTTGTACAGCAAAATTGAACCTGCTACAATTAAAAATGGTGACACAATGACAATTTAAGTGATCCATCTAGTGTAAAAAAGGAGAATTTTGGCCCTTTGTGAAGCGCAAGAAATTCACATAAATACACTTTTTCAAAATGGCCGCCAAAATGGTCATTTTTCAAAAATTCTTGTAAAAAATGTTCTACACACAACAGACATCTAGTTTTTTTACATGTTTTTCAGATGTGTGTTTGCTATTATACCTATCATAATTTGTTAAATATTACAAAAACCTGTTACACCAGATCAAAACGAGACTTGAACGTGACTGAAACCTCAGAAGAGTACATCCTTAAGCTATCTGTTAACATACTCTATCAAAATGTGTGATGTTGGAGGTGATATCACATGTCTGAACTGTTATATTCATGCAGATTAAATTACCATTCCCACACTACAGTATATACATGTATATGTTTGAATTACTTCAAATGACTGCTTGATCACAGGGACCTGCGAATTTGAACTAAACCACATGGAAGGTGTTCAGAGTAAATATACATGTTTTAGGGGTTTAAATCAACTTTCGGTAAAAAATAACTCCTATATTCACATAAAATGTATTCTCTTTCTGCAAAGATGATCATCGTATCCTCCAAAAGCACATGCCATTTCCGACTTTTCGCAGACATTACTTTGAAGCTTGGAAATGGCAAGTGTTTTTGGAGGAAAAGGAAATGTGTTAGGATATTGCTGAATGAAAATACATTTTATGTGCAAATAGGAGGATTTTAAAAGAAAATTTATCTATCTTTCCAATGGTACTATTTTTTTTTGTACATCAACTAGAAAACTATAAAATGTATCTAAACCCCTAAAATGTGTAAAATTACTCTGAACACATTCTGTATATTGCTGTAACAAATTATCAGGTCCCTGTGACCTGTAACTTCACAAGTCGCATGAGGCTAAGAGATATGGTACAATTATAGCTACATGTATGGACAGTACACTAACAGGTGGAATGGAAAAGCAATTGCCGAATTGGTGACTAACCTGAAGGTTTGGGATAAATCAATCACTTGAAGTCTCTCATCATCAAAATTTGTATCTGGTATTTCTATCATCTTCAATTAAAATCCAAAATCAACTTTGAATGTGTGTTCATCGTGGAATTAAAGGTGTTCGAAATATCAGATACAAGCCACAGACATTTGTTTCTGTCAATAAAAATAGTCACGAGAAAAAAATCGCACCCTACTCATAAAATAACGCCCGTGATACAAGCGGCAGTAATTGATGAAAAATAAGGGGGGTACGTTGGGTGACCATGGCATTTCAATGTAAAATAGTCATCCTGAAGTATTTAGCTAAAGGGCTTCAATATTAATATCCATATCGATTATCTAAACCTATCTTGTACCAACCGATATGATTCAAGGGCATTCATTGATAACATTGCTTATGTAACCGGGTTGAATAGGGGTCTCGGTTATGTCGGGTAATTACCGCGTTTATCACTTAAAACTATATAGGCACGATTAACATGTCTATATATTTCAACCTTATTAAGCGATTTGCTGTTACTGTACCGTATAAATGGGTCAGTACAGCATTGCTTGATGGTGTTTTTAATGCTGGCCATGCTGTTTGCGGAAGCGTCACATAAACATTGATCGTGTGATCAAGATCACGCGAATGTTTGTTTTCGAACTCTTCGAATGAGTAGCACTAATATCCAGATAATTGAACATGAACGGGTATGTCAGCACTGTAACATGACGAATGATAGGTGCAAACAAAAACAACGTTTATTATACATGTTAAGTGATTATTGTATAGAAAGATACGAAGGATTAGACATTGATACTCTTGCATGTAAATTGGATATGTGGAGTGTTTCTAAAATAAACAAAAAAGATTTAACGAAAAAACTCAACCAGAAAAAACCCACAGAAAAGCAAAATTATACGTTGTTATGAAATAAGATATTAACAAATAATTAAAACTTATAAAAAAATAAGGTTTTTTATATACATTTCTACCAGCTAACGTTGTCAAATGTTGTAAATCGGTTGTTTCGCCTCAGCTGACATCATTAATTGATATATCAATACAGGTGTTTTTCCAGATAGACTGAAAGAGGCGCAAGTTACACCTATACACAAGAAAAATAGCCAGTTGGACAAATCAAATTATAGACCTGTCAGTGTCCTGCCCATTTCTTTCAATTTTTTTGAAAAGGATTTGAGATACAACTGGGTGAATTTTTTGAAAATATTTTTAATCCTTATCTTTGTGCTTTCCGTCGCGGCCATGGATGTCAAACCTCACTACTAAGACTACTTGAAGATTTGCGTTTAGCACTTGATAAACACCTTTATATTGCTGCTGTTTTGATGGACCTTTCAAAAGCTTTTGACTGAGGCAGTCAATAGCTTTTGAAAGGTCCATCAAAACAGCACCATGAAAGTTTGCTTGACAAATTGTCAGCAAATGGTGTTTCGGCTCAATCAGTTTCTCTTCTAAAATCATATTTTTCAGATAGAAAACAAGCTAGGACAACATCCGGAAAAGGGTACCCCAAGGATCTATCCTTGGTCCCCTTCTTTTTAACATTTTTATAAATGACATATTTTTATTTATAAAAAAAAGGGCTCATTGTACAATTATGCAGACGATAATACCCTTTCCTTCTGTAGCCCTGATTATGATATTTTAATTTCAAATTGGAATCTGAGTCACTTCAACTAATAGATTGGTTCAGGGTGAATAAGATGTAAGCAAACCCTGATAAATTTCAAGTTTTGGCTGTTGGTAAAAAACGTATTGTAAAAATCCTTGTATTCGTATTCAAAACACTGAACTGTCATGTGAAACAACTGTTAAATTGCTTGGCATAGATATTGATTACCAACTTAATTTTGATGTACAAATAAGGAAGATTTGCACGAAGGCATCCCAGCAACTGAATATTCTCAAACGTTTGGGCACCTTTTTGAACAGACTGAGTAAATTAACCATCTTTCATTCATTCATTTTAAATAATTTTAATTTTTGCCCTTTGGCATGGTATTTCTGCACAGAGAAAAATTCTATTTTTTTTAGAAAAAGTGCAAGAAAGAGCACTACGTTTTGTATATGAAGACTTTTCAAGCTCATATGAGAATTTACTTGAAAAGGCAAAGAGGTCTTCTCTGTCAGAAGAATGAGAACAATAGCAATTGACACCTTTAGAATTGTAAACATTTATTAAAGGTAAAACAATCTACATATTTTTCAGATATAATAATATATTGGACATTCCAAATGTGAAAACTACAACTTATGGTAAGAAAAGTTTTAAATTTGCTGCTGCTACATTGTGGAACAGTCTTCCGGACCATTTCAGGACGGAAAATAGTTTCTTATACAGTCCTCGAACGGTTCGGAATGCCGTTGCTCTGCATGTAGATACGCTTTCAGTTAATTTCAATGTACCTTTTTGTTATTATTGTCCTTTTTTATTGCATATAAATTGCTCTGCCATTTTTAGTGCTTGCTTACTTTTATGCGTGCTTTCTCTATTTTTAGTTTGCTTGCATGATTTTGTTTTTATGTTGTTGTATAATTATGCTTGTATGTATTCGGTTAAAAGCTCATTAGAGCTTATGTTTTGTCGTTTGTAACCAGGGACGTAACCAGGCGTACGCACGGACGCACGGGCTTCCACGTAATTTTTTCAAGTATACTTTTAACAAGGATCACATTGTAGAACTTTATGTGATAAACTTTAACAACTCATATAATCCTGGGCCCTCAGTGAATTCATTATCTCATTGATATTGTTTCTTTTATTGACTATTTAAAGAAAATGTTCCTTGTTCATATGGAACTAATTATTACGCATTTGAAAAAAAATACTACAAGCCAAATATGAAAATGATAGGTATTTTATGTCTCAAACTGCACCAGAATGGGTTCCAGATTCAAAAAAAATCTCGG